TTTTTTTTTTTTGGAAATAAACCCATATTATTATTATTGTTTGGATGTGAATGGGACCAATTAAAATTTGAGTAGAACCGAACAAACACGCCAAAAAGTATTTGTTAAAGTTAGATTAGTTTTCCTTGAGGTCCTTGCCATCTCTGTTACTGGTAGGTTAAATCCGTAATTTGGTTTTTTAACTGTTATATATATTTTTGATTTGATTCTTAAATTAAAAAAAATTTTAGTTTGATCCATATTATTTATCAATTTGATCATAAATTAGTCTTTTTATTAAAAAATGACTGATATATTTATTATTTAACGATAAAAACCATTACTTAATAATCATGTTCACATTAATAATAAGATATGTCATCTATTTTTGTATGAAAAGGTAAACTTTGAGCTATGAGTAAATAGTGGTTAAAACCAACATTTAGTCTCTCATCTTACAAAATTGGTAGGTTTTAGCTCTTAACCTTATAATATGACATTTTTAGCCTTTTACCTTATAAAATTGGTAGGTTTTAACCCATCACCTTATATTATGATATTTTTAATCCCTTATTTGTACAAATTGAAAAAAATAGCCCTTATTTAACATCAGATTTTAATGTTCTATTAGTTCTATTATCTAACTGTTAGTTCTGTTAGCTAACTGTTAGTTCTGTTAGCTAATTGTTAGTTTTATTAGTTGATTGTTAGTTTTGTTAGTTAATTATTAGTATCCGTTAGCATTCCGTTAATAAAACTAACAAATAAAATTGAATTTAAATTTCATATTTTTTATACCTAAATGCTAACAAATATTAACAGTCAACTAACAAAACTAATAGAACGTATAACCTGATGTTAGGTGAAGGTTATTTTCTTTAATTCGTATCTCTGATGGGTTAAAAATATCATAATATAAGGTAAATTGTTAAAATCTACCAACTTTGTAAGGTAAGGGGTTAAAATTTACCAATTTTGTAAGATAAAAGACTAAAATTGTAATGTTATGAGGTGAGGGTTAAAACCTACTAATTTTGTAAGGTGAGGGGCTAAATATTGGTTTTTGCCGTAAATAATAGGGACCAAATTAGATATTTTTTAATTTAAGGACCAAATTGAGATTTTTACAATAGTTAATTGACCAAATTGGGGGTTTAACCTTACTGGTATTATCCATCTCCATCTCCATCTCCATCTCCATCTCGAACCACTTTACTCGCCGATTCTTTGATCATCTCCCTCTACGGTTTGGCTTCTCGATTCCCCTTTCTTCTTCAGCAAAGGTGGAGTTTTCCTAACTTCCATTCTCATCATCCTCCCTACTTCATTTCTCTAGAACTCTCTATTCACTTCGTCTTTGCTTTTCCAATTTCCCTTTTTTCTTTTTTTTTTTTTCATCCCCATTACACAATCGGTTGCGTTCATCTCTGCACAATTGATTGAATTTGATTGCTGCATTTATGTTTGAATTTTGCAATCTAAAG